CTCAGGGTTCTACTCTAACAGCATGGCAGAGGGAACGGAGACTGGCTTGGAGGCTGCTGAATTGGCAGAGCCTGGAGCCACCCTGGAGGTCCTACCAGTACTATCATAATTTTTAATAAAACTTGTTTACAAAAAAAAAAATAGTTCTATTCTTCTTTATCCTTCATTTGATTAGCTGGTATACTGGTATTTTGCAGTCTTAGTAATCTTTTCTAATTTCACTGCATGTTTCCCAGCGACACATTCCTCCTTCTTGACCCTTCCATCTTTTATATCTACCCCTTTGATATTCCAGATTTTCATTAAATGATCTGCTGCTGTTGTCAATTTTTCCCATTATATTTCTGTAATTATGCTTTAACTAATCCTTTTTAAGGCTCTTTTCTCAGCATCTTCTGGGTTAACAAGTGGTTGTGAGGGAAATAGGAGGAGGAAGGTGTGTTGGATATGTTTGCCACTTGAATTATTTGTAAAAATGGTAAAGGTTGGATATAAATAAAGTTGCCTTGTGTCCAATGTGATTTGTCCAGAAAACATTCATTCCATCATCAATAAATACATGGTCATAGAATCAAAGAAGGACGCTATCTAAAACTTTTCCTGATTTAGTGACTCTTTCTCTTTTATAATTCCAGATAAAGCACTTTGACTCTCTTCATTTGAATAGGATAAACTGATCAGTATCCAATAAGAAAGGGTTTTTTTTTGAATAGGCAGCATGACAATAAAATATTTGTTTGGTTCAATTTATTTAAGATAAATGGGAAAATGTTTGCTGTTTGCAAACATTTACTTTGAGGACTTTTATTATATTATTCTGGCTTTCCTATTAGGTGGTTATGGATAATGTAAGACACATCAAAAACAAAGCTTTCAATGGCATGCCTAAAAAGCAAATAATTCTGTGTAACAATATTATTTTCCATTCTAGTATAAATTCTGATGACTGTGGAATTTGATTCCTACATGTTCGGTGTGCCAAAAATCAATATGGGAACTACATAATTCACTAACTTGCTAGCAATGCAGAACAAACTGCTTTCTATGTCATAACTAGAGTTTATATGCATCTCTTGCCACAGTCTCTTTCCAAAATGCTACCCACAACCTCTATGCCCTTCTGAGCAGATTATTTTTGTAGACATGTAAGGCATCTTCATGATCAACTTTAATAAAAATATAATGCATTTGTAATTGTCTTTTGCAGAAACTCTTGGCAGGGAAAAGGGATAAAATGTCCAAGTAAATTAAAGTGGAAACTGTAGGAAGAGATAACATTCAGGGTTATCATGCTATGCCTTTCAGAGAATCATTTTTGTTGTTGAAAGAGTAATAATTCTCTTCTTGCAATTTATATGAAACCAAGTTCTCACCATCCATCAATACACAAGGGATATCCCACATTAACAGCAAGCTACTCCAAGATTTCAGGGCCATGTTCTACCACTGCCTTGGCAGTCATAATGAGAGCAGAGTTCAACCTGAGGCCACAGAGAAATCCAGAGCAATTTAGCTAAGTAAAAACTTCCTTCTCAACAGAACATCAATAATAGATGCAGTTCACATCTGTGGCACATCCAAAATAGATGCTTAAAGTGTAATTCTTGGGCTGTATCTATTTTGTCCCCCTTTGTAGAATATCCATACAATACTGTAGTCCAATTTTTTACTCTTTTGGAGTATTTTCCCCCATTTAATTTGTCTGTAAAAATCTTTCTTTAATTGAAAAAGGGAAAAAAATGAATAAGCAATACCTACTCTTCCAAATGTTATAAGCAACATGGCCTTTATCTGTACAGTGGCTTTTTAAATCCTTTACTATGTCCCATTTCCCATACCAGAGCTTATTTTTAAAATCTAGGCAAGATGTTGTTTAAAAAATAAACAAAAAGTCTGTCTTAATAAACTCAAAATATTAACAACTGAAGGCCCTGTGATCAGAATGCAAAACATGAAGCCCCAGAGCTGCTTCAAATTCCAAAAATTTTGAATCTAACCTCCAGAAATGTGACACCAAATTGTAGTTTTCAGTAGAAAAGATGGGGGAGGGTAACATTCACAGGGTGCAATAATGTTAGGTTAATTTAATTTAGTTCACTTCTAAGTTTACTTCCATTTCTTTGTCATAGTCCCATGCAGGTTTAGAACTTACTTTAAGAATGTTACTTTGAGGCCCACATGGTATATCTTATGAGATTATCAGATAACTAAATCATTACACTGAATGAACTGACTTTCTGCTATTGAAAGAGTTTATCTGCAATTTCTTTAATAAATCCTCTGTTTTCAGATTGATCATAAGAAATCTAATGCTATTGTTAATAATACTGTAGTGGAAGGAAGTCAGCCTTTAAAAATGATTAGCCATTTTTGTATAGGATCACACTTTTCTAAAGCAAGAATATATTTGAAGCTTACTATAACTTTATCATTAAGTATTACTGGGGTTTATCCAAAGCTCATGTCATTTCCTGAATAAAAGGAAATGTGGGTATCACCACTGAATCAAGTCACCTTTGGTGACTTGGTGGACCTTTGCAGTATAAAACTTAACTGGGCAATGGGCAAACCAAACCTGTATGCCAATGACTATCTTCCATTTTTAAAATTGATAAGTTTATGATTTGTCTGTTTGTTAGATTTATATCTCCTCTCCAAAATTTTGAGGCAGTATAGGTGAGATTCCCTCCTACAATTTTTCCTCCCAAGAATCCTGTGAGGTAGGCTGGGCTAAGAGATAATGACCAGCCCAATCTCATCCAGCAAATTTCTGTGGCTGAGAGGAAACATGTACCATTGTTTACCCATTCTTATTCCAATAGTTTAAGGCAGTATTTCTCAACCTTAGCAGCTTTTAAATTCAGTGGACTTCACTGGGGAATTCTGGGAAATGAAGTTCACCATCTTAAAATTGCCAAGGTTGAGAAACACTGACTTAAGTGTTAGGCAACATTGGTTTTTTTCATTAATGTAAACATGTCCTAAAGAACTTCTATAAATAATTTTAAAAATGATAATGCAGCTCTTTTCTTTCTTCTGTGTTCTTCTAAATCTCTCCTTTGGGGCTTTTCCTCTTCTTATTTACAAAATGCATGTAAAAGAGGCTGAGGAATGTGCTATTAACTATCTCAGACAGGGTACCTGCAATAATACAATTCATCTTTGAAAAATAGCCTGCAGACGCACATTTAATAGCTGTCAGTTCTAAGGATATTTTCATGCCTTTTAACATTATCCATAGTTCTTTTTAATTTAAAGCCTGAAGAAAATATTACCTAGAGTCTCTGTCACCAATATTATTCTATCTCCAGGTGTTTTAAATATTTGTCAGTAAAAATTCAAGGCTCAGCACTTGCACTACAGTCCTGCTGCAATTACATTTAAAAAACGACACTATTTAATTAGAATGAATTTACACATTTGCTTCTCAATACATTTGTGATTGTCAAAGGTAGGGTTTTTTTTAGTCAATTTGACTCAAACTGAAAAGTTCCAGCAAAACCACAGGACCCTAGACTGGCAGTTCCCAATCTTTCTGGTTTTACAGACCAATAGCAGCAAGGAGGGGGGACAGGGGATGATTACATGCGAGTGGCGGGCGAGCGCATGTTCAGCTCCATTTGTGCAAGTGGCAGGTGTGCACACATGCCAGTCACACAAACGGAGTTTTGCATGTACACATGGTCACCTGCTGCTTTTGCAAGTGGAGCTGCATGCATGCACACACTTCCCTGTCGCTTGCGCGGCCTGGTTCTGAACAGGCTGAGGCCCGATACTAGGCTGCGGCCCGGGGGTTGAGGACAGTGGTGAAAAGTAAAATTTGTTACTACCGGTTCTGTGGGCGTGGCTTGGTGAGAGGTAATGTGAGGTGATGGGTGGGCGTGGCCAACTTTTTTTTTTTACTTTTAAAACCATTTTTTCTAACCTCTTCAGCCGAAGAGGTTGTAGAAAAAATGCTTTTAAAAGCCTCTGACGATCCCAGCTGAGCCACACGATCATCAGAGGCTCTTTTTTTTACTTTTAAAAGCATTTTTTCAGCCGAAGAGGTTTTTTAAAAAATGCTTTTAAAAATAAATTTTAAATAAAGCTTCTGATGATTGCGCGGCTCAGCTGGGCATTGGGGGGGGAGGGATTTTTGCTACCGGTTCTCCGAACCACCCGCCGCCATCGCTACTGGATCTGGAGATCTGGTCCGAACTGGAAGCATTTCACCCCTGGTTGAGGACCCCTGCCCTAGACAATTGGATTTTTTAAAAATCTCTCTGTAAGAGTTGGGGAGGTGCTTGAAAAAATATCCAAGATACAAAAGTGAAACATACAAACCTTATATGCATAAGCTTTTCTACGTCTACTGTCTTACACTATATTCTATTTATAATGTCTATTATTATTTATATTATACAATGTTATCTTTACTATATTCTATTATTACACCATATACTATTACTTATTTTTCTATGCTATATTATACAATTTCTGCTACAAGCTTACTATTCCTACTATGCTACTACTATTACTAGTATACAACAGTATTTTACCGATTATAGACCTTGGTCTGTCTTTAAATCTTCTCTCTCTGAGATTTCTTCTATTGCTATTTTCTTCTTTATTAATGGACAACATGTAAAGCACTGACACCTTCCCAACACTGTGTTTCACTTTGCCTCTTCTTTTTCTTCTAGGTCCTTCCATTTCCTTGAAAAGAAACCCCTTCCTATATTTTAATGTTTTTTGGGGTTGTGGTGGCTGATGCAGAGTTTGCAAAACATGCTTCTCTCCTCCACTATCTGTTTCAAGGTTGCAGATTTTATAAGCAGTTTTGCCCTGCTGATGCTGGGGAGAAGGATCAAATAGGAGGGTAGAAGGCAGCACAGGTACTTGCAATTTTCTTAGCTGCTTACTCCTCCACAGTGACAAACCATAGGATGGGGTTGGAGAATTACTGGTGAACATCTTGGCTACTGATTTACAATAGATTTACAATGAAATCCCAGAATTACCTGGGAAACACCTTCTTTTATGTTGCCATCTGAACCTGATTCTTGGCAGGCCCTAAGGGAAGAGGAAAAAGAATCTCAGTGGGCTTCTGATAAGTCACTATCTTAAATGATTCTGAAAAGAACTTGAAATGAAATGTTCAATACCAGCTTGTCATAAGGTTATTATGAATACACAATCATAGCCAATTGGGCTTCTGGGCATCAGTTGCAAAAGAGCAAGAAACAGAAAGGATTACTGCTTTCACGTTCAGTTTATGGATTTTTGGAGTAACAACTAAATAATCTTATTGCCTTGATTCCTAAATACAGCTATGATCTCAACCCTGATCCTCTAATCCAGGGCTGTTAAACTGGTGGCCTGCAGGCCGAATGTGTCATGCGCAAGCCATGCCCACCATAGCTCTTTGAAGGGAACGTCGCCATATGTCACGTGACAGCAACGTGATGCTGCAAGTTTGACACTCGTGCTCTAATCCTTAGATTCATTCGTTTATTTATCCATCCATCCATTCATTCATTCCATTTGTAAGGTCACCTAATTTAACAACTAATTTACTAATTTATTCTGCTACTGTTCAAGTCAAGGGCTATTTCTCTGGACATTAATACAAATTATAATAGTTCCCAACAGTTCTTCTCTAGCTCCCAATATTCCTAACCAGCATGGTCACAGTCACATCCTTCAACTGTTAAGTCCCTCAATTTAAGACAAAAACAAAGGAGATAGCCGAAGCACCTTCAAGCTAGAAAAGAAGCAATCTCTACATTGTCACTATAGGAAGCTATAAGCCAATTCATTTGCTACTCATTATTGCTCCTTACTTTGTCTGGAAATCATGCTGATAGGAAGACCAGCTATGCTCCAACAGAATTTAATAATTACAGACTACATTGAGTAATTTATGAGTATGTTGTTTGCTTTTGTAATATTCAAAAAAGCATTTCCAAACCAAAGGCCTGGAGCTCTTTAACCAACCATTTTGGTTCTTCATCCACTATTATAGATTTTCCACCCATTAATTTCTTTGAAAGCAATTTGAATTCTTGCCAAGAATCTGACAGAGGATTCAGCATGAGACACTTTTGCTGTTTCTGGAAATCAGTTAATGAAATTCCCTCAGGACCACAAATAAAAAGGCTTATCTTTGACAGTTTAATTTCTGCTATACCCATTTTGGATTAATTCATTGTGAAAGGATATTCTTCATTTTGAAATAAAATTGTTTTTTTTCTTTCACTGCTCCAGTGCTCAGCATTTCTCTTTTTCTTCCCTCTTTTCTTCCATACAAATTCTGATTTAAAAAAAAATTCTCAAGAGCCAAATACAGTTTAGAATTGATTTGTTCTCTTTAGAGAACAGAGAACTGGGGCCAGGATAGTGATTTATTGACGTTCTGGCATGGGTGTGTATGAGATATTGGAAATGAGATTTTGGGTAGATCTTGACTTGATTTATTATCTTGGTTTTTTCCCTTTTAGTGGGTTGGATATGTTTTTCTTCTGGTTCCTGGAGAAAATGAAGAAACCAAGGGAGAATAAGAGGATTACAATAGTAACATGACATCATCTGGATCCATCTCCCCCCCCCCACGAGTAGGTGTCACCTGGCTCAACAGCAGTAACTATGAGCAGGATCTAAACTTCCTAGTGGACAATCACTTAAGTATAAGCCAGAAGTGTGCTGCAATTGCCAAAAAAATCAATGCAGTTCTAGGCTGCATCAACAGAGACAATATGAAGATTAGATGAAATTTTAGTACTGCTTTATACTGCATTGGTAGGACCACACTTGGAATACTGCATCCACTTTTAGTCACCACAACACAAAAAGATGTTGAAACTCTAAAAAGAGTGTAGAGAAGAGCAACAAACATGATTAGGGGACTGTACGATGAACAGTTGTGGGAACTATGTAGTCCAACAAAAAAAGGACCAGGAGTCTTCCAATATTTGAGGAGCTATCACAGTGAGGAGGAGGTCACTATTTAACTATTCTTTAAAGTACCTGAGGCCAGGACAAGAAATGCCAATTGGAAGTTTAACAAAGAGAGATCCAACCTAGAATTAAGAGAATTTTCCTGTCAGTGAGAACAATTAATCACTGGAACGGCTTGCCTTCAGAATTCATGGGTGCTCCATCACTGGAGGTTTTCAAGAAGAGATTGGACAGTCATTTGTCTGGAATGGTATAGGGCAGGAGTCTGCAACCTTAAACATTCAAAGTGCCATTTGGACCCTTTTCCCACAGAAAACAAAACACCGGGAACCACAAAATCTGGGTGGATGTGGTCAACTAGCACATGAAACACCCCCCCCCCCCGACATGCCTACCCAGGTTTTGTGGCTCCAGGCATTTTCTTTTCTATGGGAAACAGGTATCTCTCTCTCCCCCTCCCATCTCTCTCTTTCTCCCTCTCCTTCCACCTCTCTCTCTTATCTCTTTCTCTCTCATTTCTCTCTCTCCCATCTCTCTTTCTCCCCATCTCCCTTCAATTTATCTCCCTTAGAGATAAAATGGCGGCTAATGAGCACTGGGAGAAGAAAAGAAGATCTTGAAGCATAATCTTAAAGGGACAAAAACCCGATGGAAAATTGACTTTTGAACAAAATTATTTGGAAAATAATCTGGAAAAATTTAAAAACTAGAAAAATTACCCCAAGATTGGTTAAAGGATCGGAAATAAATAAATAGATCCTTTTTTCTCCCTTTCTTTTTCGAAACTTAAGAAAAACAAAAGAGAATGGACAATAAGCCCTATAACAGAAGTGTTCTATAAACAAAAGGAAAAAAGGAAAAAAGAAGTGAGAAGAGCTGTTTAAATTCGGACTGGACTATAAAACTGATTTGATATTTTTAAAGCTAAAAAGAAAAAGAGAAGCTAGGTAAGATTGTTAATGTAGATTGAAACAAAATGGATATTTGTTAGTCAATTGGAAATTGTGGATTGCAGAGAGACACCTTCAAGAGTAAAAAGGAATACTGCAACTTGGTCTTTGTTTTGGAAAATTGTGAACTTTACAGATAACAGCAGTGAGAACTTTTGGGAAGGATTTCTTTGTCTGAAAGCAGCTTGACTTTGGAAAAAAAAGGAATATAACAGAACTTTTAAAATGGGAATAATATTAACTCAAAAAGAATAAAATGGCACAGGGAATTAGAGAAATGATTAAATCGATGTACTTGTCATGGAAAATGGAAATAAGAAAAATAACGACAATGCTACACGGAGAGATTAAAATCTGAGGACACAAAAGCTGAGATGGAGCATACGCAAGCGGACAAGGAAATAAATACGGAGAAGCAAGACACAGAGGCTGAAAATAAAGAAGATAAAGAATGTGATTAAATATGGAAAAGTAACTGAACATGTGGATAGCAATAATAAAAAGGAGGTTTTTAGAGATTACTTTGGGATTAACAATGAAAAAAATAAAAAGGATGGAAAAAGACAAATAAGGAAGGAAGGGTGGAACAGAAAGAATATAAAGAATTTAAATGATTACACTGGGATTTACAGTGAAAAGATAAAAAAGAGAGAAAAAGGGTGGAAAATAACAGGAAATATAGGGCAAAATAGAAGAGTTCAGGATTTTGAAATACAAAATGATAATACTGAGCTAAACAGTTGGCTAAACAGTGGTGAAACAAAAAAAGAGAAAAGAGGGAGAACAATGGGAAATATAGGGCATTTTAAGGCACAAAAGGAAAAAAGGGGAAAGAAAAAGGTAAAAATAAAAATGAAAAGGGAGAAAAGAAATGAAAGAGGAATATGATGTATATGACTAGAATTGAAAAATGAATTGTAGTAAGAAATAATGTTAGATCATATGATGGTGAAAATGAATTGAAAAATAATTGGAATAATAACTGAAATATTTTTAATGGTTTATGGTGGTGTGTATATAAACAATTAAGTGATGATTTGGAATAATACATGGGGAAAGCTATATGATTAGAGGATAATAGCTAGAATATTTTTAAATTTAACTAAAGAAACTGTAATAAATGAAATATTTTTAATTGCATATCATGGTGAAATATATATATATATATATATATATATATATATATATATATATATATAATATTCTCTTTTTCTTCTGGTTCAAATATATAAATGAAAAAGGTATCTACATAATTAATTGATTTATATTAAAATGTTGGACTGTATTAGTTAAGGAAATGTATGTTATAAAATAAGTGGGTTTATTATTACTACAAAAATTAAATAACTGTAACACCACATAATTAATTAATTTGATGATGGATATAAAAATAGATGATAATGGGAAGGGGTTTAATATGGAATAGAAGGGGAAATGGAATTTGGTTAAAATTAGAGATGAAAATGAAGGGTAACATTGGTAAGAAATAGATGAAAATAAATATTACGGCAAAAAAAGAGGTATAGAAATTGTAATTTTAGTTGAAAGGTCTAAAAATTGTTTAAATTTGTTAACCGGCCAAATACTCTGTTTAGCAAAAATACATTGTATGTTTGTGTGTGTGTTTGTGTAAAAAATTAAAAAAAACTTTACAAAAAAAAAAAAGGATACACTGGATGAAGGCATTTATCAGAAATACTCTTGTGAGAGCAGTGGGTTGGACTAGATGACCTCAAAGTCCCTTCCATCTCTGTTACTATTGCAAGCCAAGAGTTCTGTAAAACCCCTCCCCCATCTTTTGCTGGCTGGCTGGCTGGAGACTGTTAAGTTAAGTGGCAAGGTTTTTTTTTAAAGCAACTGCAATTGAAGAGTTCTGTAAATTACCATCCCACCCCTCTGGGCAGCTGTCTGAAGATGCTTGAGCTAATCAGCAGCAAATGGATTTTTTAAAAAAACTTGAAATGGAGCTGCTTGGAGGCAATTTAGTTCTGTACTGGAAACAGCTGATCAGCGGAGGCGGAAACAGCTGACTGGCGGTGGGTGGAAGTAAGTCAGATCTTCATTCATTTAACAAGCCATTTGATTCAATTAATGAATTTGATTTTAAACATTTGTAAAATTGAGTCTCATCATTTGATGAATTTTTTGACTTACGAACCTAATGGG